TTTTCCTCAGCCTCGGCCACTTCGAGTGATAAGTGCTAGTTTGACATGCTGAGCTGTTGAAGCAAACTTACTACACACCCAAAATCTTCTCTGACAGATACGGTGTCCAGCGTTCATTGAACTAGCAGTTCTCCTCTCACGTCAATGGAACGATTGCCGTGGATCTGCTGATTGTATTCCGATACCGGCGTCGGTCCATCGCCAGTAACGGTCCCTCACCCAAAAGGAGGTGAACCGACATAAATCAGAACAACGTGGAGGAGAGGAGGGAGAGAGAGAGAGTGAGAGAGAGAGAGAGAGAAAGAGAGAGAGAAAGAGAGAAAGAAAGAGGGAGATATATGGACAGAAAGAAGAGAGAGCGGAAAGAGAGAGAGAGAGAGAGAGAGAGAGAGAGAGAGAGAGAGAGAGAGAGAGAGAGAGAGAGAGAGAGAGAGAGAGAGAGAGAGAGAGAGAGAGAGAGAGAGAGAGAGAGAGAGAGAGAGAGAGAGAGAGCACCGCTCGCCTGTTCCTCCGTCATTCTGTATCGCGCCGCTCCCACCCCCCTGCCGCTCGGTTGAGCTGCGGGACCGGACCGCTGCTTCTCGTGCCGGCTAGTGCCGTTACCTACCTCTATCTCTGCTAGTGATCTACAGCCCCCAGCTGTGGACGGTGGGGGGGGGGGGGGAAGGGGAGGCAGCTCGAGCTCTCGTGCGCCCGCAGTGTGTCAAGAGCACGCCCTGGGCGAGGTCTCAGCTGGCGGCTCACGGCAGCAGGAACAGGGAGAAAGTGCTCTCACTCCGACAGCCAACAGTAATTAGAGCACCACAATTAACGCTAACTCGGCTGCAAGCTTAACGACAGAAACCTCGCCCCTGAACTTTCTTATATGAAAGCCGTGCTTGTAATGACACTGGAATTGCTAGAATATATCTTTCGAGGATACGAACAACAATATATTTGCCATACTAGTTATTCAATTGAAACAAAAGTTTCTGAATAGCCGTGGTCCGAGCGTGGTCCGTACACGTGGTCCGTCCGTGGTCCGGTCCTGGTCCGTCCGTGATCCGTGCGTGGTCCGGGCGTGGTCCGACCGTAGACGGTCTGCGGACCGGCCCTGGTCCGGCCCTGGTCCGGGTGTGGTCGGCGGCGACCTTCAGAGAGCGGCACCTCGACGCGGCGCGGGCCGGAGCGGTGCGGCGGCCCGCAGCCTCTGTGACCTCGAGCTGTGGCGTGGCGCCGGGCGGCCTCTGAGCGGCTGGGGCTGGGCTGGACAAGTGCTGAGGGCTGGGCTGGACAAGGGCTGAGGGCTGGGCTGGGGCTTGACTGAGGCGGGGGCTGGGCTGGGGCTTGGCTGTGGTGGGCGCTGGGCTGAGCTGCAGGCTAGGCTGGGCTGGGCTGGTCTGGGGCTGTGGCTGTGGCTGGGGCTGGGGCTGGGGCTGGGCAGTGCATAACAGCGCTGTGCGTTTTGGTAGAAATGCTCGTGGCAAAAAGCAATGCGTCGTGAAATCTCTGTCATATGCAAATTTAAACATGCCTGCTGGCTAAAGTGTGGATGGGCTGTGTATTTTTTTTCTCTCTCTCTCTCTCTCTCTCTCTCTCTCTCTCTCTCTCTTCCTCTCTCTCTCTCTCTCTCTCTCTCTCTCTCTCTCTCTCTCTCTCTCTCTCTCTCTCTCTCTCTCTCTCTCTCTCTCTCTCTCTCTCTCTCTCTCTCCTCTCTCTCTCTCTCTCTCTCTCTCTCTCTCTCTCTCTCTCTCTCTCTCTCTCTCTCTCTCTCTCTCTCTCTCTCTCTCTCTCTCTCTCTCTCTCTCTCTCTCTCTCTCTCTCTCTCTCTCTCTCTCTCTCTCTCTCTCTCTCTCTCTCTCTCTCTCTCTCTCTCTCTCTCTCTCTTCGGGACAGCGAATCTGTAGACCACTCTATCTACAGCAAAAGTGTGATCATACCGACGAAGAATTGGAACCAGACTTGTGCCAAGGTCCCAAAAAGGTCCGAGATCCAGGGTTCGCAGAGTCCAAGGTCTGGGACCTTGATGGATCCTGGACCTTGCATTGTCATTTTAGTCGTGAGACCTTGGAAACCCAGGACCTTAAAACATCAATGTGCCGCGAGACCTTGGAATCCCAGGACCTTAACATTTGCATATGTCGCGAGACCTTGGAATCCCAGGACCTCAACATTTGTATATGCCGCGAGACCTTGGAATCCCAGGACCTCAACATTTGCATATGTCGCAAGACCTTGGAATCCCAGGACCTCAACATTTGCATATGCCGCGAGACCTTGGAATCCCAGGACATCAACATTTCATGTGACATCAACATGAGACCTTATAGAAACCCAGGACCTCAACATTTCATATGCCGTGAAACCATGGAAACCCTGAAACCATGGAAACCCAGGGGGTCAGGACCTCAAAATTTTGATATGCTGCAAGACCCTGCAGAATGCAGACCTTCAGTCCCAGTTTTATTATTTGTCATGGGATCTTCGGAGAAGGGTCTGGATCTATACCATCATATTCTTGAGGGACCTCAAGAATCCTGGAAGCTGGACCATGAGGTTTATGTTGCACATGGCCACTAAGGACCCTGCACTAGGTTTTGTCTGTAAACACTTCAGTAAATATCTATGGTTGAGCGTGAGCCGCTGAGCGACCAGCTGCAAGGGGCTAAGATAGATACATGAAGAGAAAATGAACCAGACTGTGTAGACATATACAGAGCCAAATCATTGTCATGGCTGTGAGGCAGAACTGGAACAAGAGACATGGTAGCTTTTTACATCATCAATGTTATGGATTATGAAACTGTCAAACAGTGGGCAGTGGTGGTTTGGAAAGTTCTTTTCTAATCTCACCTCACATATTTTCTGGGCCTTGTTTTCTGGGTTGTGATATGCCGGGCTTGAAGCTACTTGGAAGCTGCCCTGACCCACTGACCAAGCAAGTGTCAAACTTATTCGATTTGCAAGTCATCAAATCACCATTGCGCAATGAGCATCCAATATAAGCAATGATTCCATGAGCATGACAGTTCAACTTTTCCGTTTAGCAGGTTTTCGTCGGACAGTTTTTCGTCTGCAGATTTTCGTCTGCAGACTTTCGTCTATGAATTTTTCGCCTGTGCATTTTTAAGTCCGCGCATTTTTTTCGTAAGGACATTTTCCGCCTCGTCCAGACGAAAAAATGCCGGACAGTAAAACACTCCGACGAAAAATGCACCAAATCAATTCGTAGACGAATAAATGCAAGACGAAAAAGTCAGACGAAAATCTGCCGACGAAGAACCGTCTGACGAAAAAATTGTCAGATGGAATTTTGTTCAGAGCCTAATGTGAATGAACAGTAAGTAAGGTTTGCGCTCGCTGATACTCATATCCAGGGCCCTGCTCGGTCGCTGTTTTTATATCAGCGTGCTGTCGGTTATTGCTGGCGCGGCTTGGCCTCTTATTGGTCTAACGAATAGACCACTTGAATTCGACCAATGAGGAGCCAAGAAGTTAGCAGCATGGTCGCAGCCTGCTGATAAATAAACGGGGTGCGAACAGAGCTCTAGGTATTATGTAACTGAATGTGCAGAAAATCGAAAGCATATACCTATCCAATTCAATTTTCCATTTTTTGAAGCCTGTAGGTTTTATTTCTGGTTTTTTATCTTGCCTGAAAGAATACTTGGATTTCTGTCTTCAATAACTGTAAGGTGCTATCCTACATTCCTAATGATCAGGTAAGATTGATTTGAAAGAACATGACAATACAAATGCAAGGTACCTATTACCTACCTATATTTTTATGAATTTGTCCGGTTAAAGAAGGAGAGATTGATATCATGATTCATCTTTGACTTTGACTTGTGTTGAAGCTCCCCCTACCTATGTAGTATGTTGGTAAATGATAAAACCACCACAAGTTTGCATAGGTTCTGCCCCTTTCAATGTTGCTGGGCATCTGTTGGCAGAATATTTAGAAGTAAGCCTGCTCATCAGAATGTTAGTTTAAGTTCTTGTTGTGGGACGCTGAATACTTTGGATCCTGAGATGTATTCTTGCCGTGGGACCTTGAGGACTGTGGACCCTGAACTCTGAAGTGTATACTTATCATGGGACCTTGGGGACTGTGGATCCTGAAATTCATGCTTGTCGTGGGACCCTAGGGACTGTGGATCCTGCAATACATTCTTGTCGTGGGACCTTGGGGACTGTGGATCCTGCAATGTATGTTTGCCGTGGGACCTTGGAAACCTTGGATTCTAGAAATTGAATTTGCCGTGGGACCTTGGAAACCTTGATTCTAGAAATTGAATTTGCCGTGGGACCTTGGAAACCTTGGATTCTAGAAATTGAATTTGCCGTGGGACCTTGGAAACCTTGGATTCTAGAAATTGAATTTGCCGTGGGACCTTGGAAACCTTGGATTCTAGAAATTGAATTTGCCGTGGGACCTTGAGGATCCTGGATCTTGATTTTTGGTCACGGCACAAGTCTGATTGGAACAATAACCTCCAGCTCAATCTCGGATATTGTGCAATCTTAAAAGTTTGAATGCGTTTTATGCCAAGTGCGGGAACTCAGAACTGGGTATTCGAATGATTATGATAGCACAGCCAGCCTTTGTCAATTGATGAACAATGGGCCAATTTGCCGTGGAGTTTCGATGTTTCAACCACCAAGGCCAAAGAAGGGAACGGGCTGCTTTCGTGTGTTGCCCTTGAATTTTGAAATTATAGGAATGTTGGTGTGAATTAGTAAATGCCGATTGTGTCATTCTATATAAAATGATTGTCGTAGCTGTGTGGACCATAGGCGGCCGCCGCCGCGCTGGTGGACTCCCGTTGACTGAGTTCAACCGGAGTATTTATTTTTATTCGCTCTTATCATCCTCTCATTTGTGATTAGACAAGTCAGTTAATCTTCTGACCAGTCAGTTACCCACATGACCAATCAATTACCCTCCTGACCAGTCGGTTGTCCTTCTATCCAGCAAGTAATCCTGATCCATCGCTAACCGCTGCGCCCCTCTCTTTCAGTGAAGGCCTCCCGGGACGGCGGCGCCTGCCCCTACAGCTTCGGCCTCTTCCCGTCAGGAGAGGGCTGCACCGACTACTTCGTCAAGTGCGCCTACGGCCAGCCGCAGCCGGAGCTGTGCGCCGAGGGACTGGCCTACGACGAGCGCACCCACTCCTGCAACTGGCCCGACCTGCTGCCTGAGTGCTCCGTCGGAGATGCTGAGCGTGAGTACCGAGTAGACACCGGGCGCCGAGCTGAGCTATAACAGGTGGCAGCACCGATCTGTGGCACAGGTGGCAGCACTAGCAGCACGGTTCCAGGGTATCCGGATACATAGCCGAAAGGCGATTTGCCGAATGTCATTTTGCCGAATGCAGTTCGCCGAATGTCATTTTGCCGATGTGCTTTTTCCCGACGTGTCAAAAATGCTAAAAGTCGAGGTGCCATTTGCCGACATGCCTTTTTGCCGAAATGCCAATTTGCCGAAATACTTGTTAGCCGAAATGTAAATTTGCCGAAATGCGATTTGCCGAAATGTTGATTAGTCGAAATGTTGATTAGTCGAAATGTCAATTAGTTGAAATGTAAATTTGCCGAAATGTAAATTTGCCGAAATGTAAATTTACCGAAATGTAAATTTGTTTCGACAAATTAGCATTTCAGCAAACTAGCATTTCGGCGCATTGGCATTTCGACTAATTGACTTTTCGGCAAATTGACATTTCGGCAAATTAGCATTTCGGCAAATTGACAGTTTCGACTCTTTGCACGTCGGCAAAAAGGCATGTCGGCTAATTGCATTTCGACTTTTAGCACTTCGCCTTTTTGACACGTCGGCAAAAACTAAAAAGACACGTCGGCAAAATGCATTCGACATATTGACATTCGGCGAATAAGCATTCGGCAAAACGCAGTTCGGCAAATCGTCCTGTAACCCGGTTCCAGAGCCCTGGCGGTCGCTGCTGGAGAGTAGGTATAAGGGGTTAGGGGGAATCCGTTCACTGAAGCTTCCCAGATTCAAGAAGGATCCCTTTCTATTTTATTTTGTCGTTCTCATGTTCCTTTTCTCTAAGATGCTGAAAGCTAAAAATACTCAACGTAGTTTACTTTTACCTGATTGCGGACTAAGGTATCATGCTGACCCCCCCCCCCCCCCCTTCCCCACAGAGCTGGTGGGCTACTCGTGCCCGGAGAAGATCCCCGCCAGCTCGGCGTCGCTGCGTTTCGGTCAGTTCCCTCGGTTCGCCACCGGCCAGTGCGACCGGCTGGTGACCTGTGTCAACTACTACCCCCGCCTGACGCGCTGTGAGGAGGGCACCGCCGTCGACGAGAACTCGCTCACCTGCGTGGACGCTGCGCTGGTGCCCGGCTGCGGGTCAGTACTGGGAGGGGACAGGGGTGGGATTGAGGGGACAGTTAGGGTCAGTAAGTACAGATAGGGGACAGGACAGGGGACAGTACGGTTAGTGAGGGACAGTGGACAGAGGTCGCCACCCTGGTGCCCGGCTGTGGGTCAGTACTGGGAGGGGACAGTGGGTCAGTACTGGGAGGGGACAGGGGTGGGATTGAGGGGACAGCTAGGGACGGAACAGGGGGACGGGAGTTACGTTTTTTAAGGTCACTGAGTAAATCTCAGAAAGATTCAACCAGGAGTTTAGCCTAGACAAACTAAGCTATACCGTTTAGATTAGATGCCGTTTGAGTTTTTACCATCACAGCCTTCCATCAATGCCCTACCTCAATGTTAAAGGGACTATCCCACCTTTAACATGGGGTTTGAGTTGAGATAGCCAAGTTTGAGGCGAGGTTCAGAAACCACTATCTATCTAGGTTGCAACCCCCGCGGCCTCTTGGTGTTGAAGAAATTCGTTCACTTCATTTGAAAATGGGCCTTGTACAAGGCCCTATCTTCAACATGGAGCGACCGTTAGTGTGACGTCACCTCGTTTAGTCATTCTGATTTAAATGGGTTTGTTCGTTGAAAAATCGCTTAAAACTTGGTCCGAACTTTGTTGTGGTGCCTACAGAGTAAAAAGAATCAGCTTTATGACAGTAATGTGCAGGCCTGGGGAAGGAGGTAATGTTGGGCTGTGACGTCACATATTTGAAAGTTTGTGTTTGGAATATGGGAAGCCTAAGATGTTTAATGAAAAATAAATGCCAGAACCGTGTTCCTGGTCATCCAATCTATAAAGTCGGGCACAATTTAACTGGTTTTAACAACATTTTAGAAGGTGGGATAGTCCCTTTAACCCCTACATCACTGTAACTCTGTCAGAGCCCTCTATCAAGCATCTGACTCGGTATAATAATCCCTTTATCACGTTTGTAACAAGTCTGACCTGACCCCTCTGTTTCTCCACAGGTACCAGTAAATATACAGAGGAGGCCAGGAGCCGGCACCGCCGGCCACACTGCTTCCACAGTCCACCTGCAGAGTCCACAGTCCACCGACGGCTGTCCACAGTCCACCGGTGACTGTCCACAGTTCACCAGTGTAGAGCTGGCCTCTGGCTCCATTCAAATTTCCAAAGACCGGTATTCGGTCCACCACGCCCGTAAAATCAGATGTGGCCCTCTGACTGTGGACCAGCATCTATTTTGAATATCATCGTTGGTCATAGAGGTCTAGGATGGCAATGGGTTTGTAAATATATTAAAAATATGGCAAAATATACGTGTGTACTTTTGTACCACGAGTTTTGAGCATGTGGGGATGTATAGTCGACTACAGAATGATGTTCCACTTTTCACAGGCAATTATTTGCCTGGGGTGGTAGGCTGTGCCGCATCACACGGGCTGAGTTCACAAATTATAGCTTTGTCCCAATGCTCACAATCGACACGCTTAATTGCGTGATAAACGGCACAACTTAGCGTTCCGGTCAACTGATAGCTTCTGAGGGGTGGAACATCATTCTGTATGTAGTCGACTAGGGAAGGAACAAACCATAGGTATAGTCTGTTCCATATCAAGCTTGCAGTTGGAGTTTCTTCGGCAGGTCACTCCTCCGCTCAAGAATTTGCTTTTTTTTTTTGCTCCGCCAGCCTAAAGCCAGTCTGGAGCCGGGGGTCATTACATCTGGCAATTTTGGCCAGGAACAAAGTTTTACGTTAGGCCGGTTTATGTGAACCCGGAAGCAATAGCAACGTGGGAGCCTATCCTTAGTGTGTGTGAGCAAATCTAATGGGGGAACTTACTTTTGCCGAAGTGCCGAAAAAGCCGGAACAAAACACAGATGAAGAAACGGTAACATTTATTTACATCACATATTCATACACTTGTGTAAGGTGTCAGTGTACTGGTGTGGGGTGTATTGGTCAGGGAAAAAGTCCTAAATAACAAAAAACCTGACGCCTATTGCAAAGGGGAAAACCCCGCGCTGAAGCCAAAGAGCGCGGGGAAAAACCCCTACAGTTGTTTAATCTAATGTGTAGGAGGTAAAAGGGAAGGGATAATGACGGCCCCGTGCTGGGGAGGGGCGCCCGGCGACCACAGGCGTAAACACCTTGGCTGCCAGTCGGCGTTGGCTCTCAACGACTCCGCCTTAGCGGGTCGGAGAGCGCAATAGGGGGCCGCCAGTTACACATGCCAGTTACACAGTGCAAGAAACATCAATGGCTAGAGCGCGAGCACACGATGCATTCAAAAGGAGAATGTAAATAAACGACCGGGATTTAGGTTGTACCATGGGTGAAACTTTGACATCACCATTGGGGTCCCAAATGTCCAAGGGGGCCTCCATTTAGTGGGGGCCTCCAAGCAACTAGGGGCCTCCAATGGCACTCAGAAGCGCTAATTTACGAACCACGCCAGGGCCTCCTCTAGCCCTCGCCCGCACATGCCATTTTCCCATCCTAGAACGCACATGGGGGGGTGGTTGCCACCCCCCCCCCCCCGCGCCATTTCGTTCCTGTTGGAGATAGAGCTTAGCGGTAAAGACCAAAAAGATTCTTTGGGAAGAGACGAATCCAATGATACCCAGTTTTACCTTCTCAGGTCAGTCATTGACCTTCCAGGTCAGGTCAAACTAAAAAATGTTGCGGTTTTGGGTCACCGTTTGATATCAAGTGTGCTGCTTATCAAATACCGATGACGATGCTGTTTTCTGGTGCCAAGCCAGCTAGAACCTCTTTGTCACACTACCCGACCAGAATTTTGCTGCTGAGGTCATCTCAGGTCAAGTTAGGTCAAGGTCAATTATATGTGTTTGTATGTCTGTGTGTGTCTGTGTGTATACTGATGTGTGCACCGATTGTTTTTGGGTCCATATTACATGAAATCATGATCTGAGAAGCTTTTACCAAAAATGCAGTCAAAAAACTTCAAAAAAGTAAATTCAGCTTGCCTAAAACGCAATTATCTTAGATGACCTAGGTTGACCTTGACCCTGACCTTGACCCCTGTACATCGTCGAACAACATGTTCCATGATAGGTGGGAGGTAAGACTGGCAAAAAAGGCCGAAATCAGGGTGTCAAAAGCTCATAAGGCCCATGCCAAACGCAATATGTTGAGAATTGGCCATTTGGGTCATGACATGACCTGACAAACAAGGTCATATCTCCGAAACCAAAAATCACAGAAACTTGAAATTTTCAGTGGACATCAAGAAAGGATAGAGGAGCAGCTATACGAAAAATCAGCCTTCTAGCTCTAAAAATGCTGAGTGCAGAGCAGAAAGACTACCTGGGGGGGGGGGGTGGCAACCACCCCCCCATGTGCGGGCGAGGGCTAGGGAATTTTCACTGAGGGGGCCAGAGGCCTAGAAACCAAACCTAGGGTACTCCCAAACCCGGTTTTCTCATCAGATTTAGGCTACTTATTTTTCGTCACAGTCCTGATGCCATGATTTTATGCATCAATTTTTGGGTAAAAATTCAGGGTTACTTTTAAAGGGGGGAAGAGGGGAATTTCCCCCCTTCGAAAATTCCGCTCCCCCTTTCAAATCGTGTCTGAACGGCTAGGGAGGGAAGGGGGAATTTCCCCCTTTCAAATTTATTTTGGAGCCCATTTTCAATCAATGCGCTATTCAGATTCTATAGTCATCGTTAATCAGATTCTCGTCATCAATCAACGTTGCTGGCGTTAAGATAATTATTAATTTTCAATTTTCGGTTCCATCCAACCATTTAACGTTCAGTGCAGTAGGAACTCCAGATTTGACCCGATACCGATCGGATAGTCGGTGGGACCGTCTCTTGTCTTGTCTCTTCCGTCTTTTCGCAATCACTGACATATCGGTACAGGCGTCGGCGTAGAAACCGGCGGGGGACGGGATTACCTCTCCGAACCAAGGGTGGATACAGGGGGAGGGGGGCAATGGGCCATGGCCCCTCCTTTGACGCAAAAAGAAGGTGACCCCCTTTTGGACCCCCTTTTATATTCTGTGTTCTTTCTCAGAAACGACCCATTTATTCACGATTATTTTCACTTTTTCATCGACGCCAAGGCCAGACATCTAACATTTTTGTCCCAATATGACAATGGCCGTGTTTAACCATCCTCCAAACCGGAAACATTGAAGGAAAAACAACGTTATTTTTGTCCCATAGGCATCAAAGCTTTGAGTAATAAATGACTTTTCTCTTTATGCAGCATTCACGTTCATCTGCTTTGCATGCAGAGCAGGGCGCAAAAAAGTACCTCATCACAGCCGGCTTTCCCAATGGAACTTTCACTGCTCACTAATACTAATAGTAATAATTCAAGTTTTGTGCTTCATTAGTTTTTGTTCGGATATCACTGCCCACCTTGTAGTTGTAGAGGTTGCAGTTTTGTAGCGCCGTCGTTTCTCTACATACACGACCACACAAAGAACTTTGGAATTGCTCGTTAACTGTAGCTTTTGTGAGCGTTTAAGAATTTCATGTTTTTTGCTCATTTTTGCTCGAACAGTTTGACATCAATTACTTCTGACCTAAGGTGACCTAAGACTTGAAATTTTGTGCGAAGGTTTCAAATTGATGCCCGGTAAGGTACTAAAAATTTGGCGGCGCTTTCGCTTTTCAAGAAAACCCACATGGGGGCCAAAATGACCTCCAATCAGGGCGCGGATTAACCTCTCTCTTTAGAAAGGCGTTACTGAATGTTTGGCTGGGGTATACCTACTAGTTATTGATACCACTGATAGGTTGATACTACTGATTGGCATTTGCAAGGGCGCAGTCAAGTTGGGACCTCCCCCGCCCCTTACAGCCAAGGTAGGTGCGTATATTTTTTAGCAAAATTATTTTTTGGCAACCTTCCAAAATAAAGTGGCTGAAACCCGAGGAAAGAATAGGATTTGGGGGTAGGTAAGGTTCTGCGGGCTCCATCCTAACGAAAAACCTAATGGTATTGCCGCCCACCCCCCTTTCAGATGCCCCTGGATCCGCCTTTGCCCCGAACTTTATTCCCCCTCTCAACTTTTCCTGTAAAAGTAACCCTGGGTAAAATAATAATAAAGAAATTGTACATAGGTCCAGGGTTGTATACGACTCAATCAATAGCAATCAATTCAATCACGACAAATTTGGAAAACCAATCAAATCAATCAAGTCAGAGCAGTTTTCGGGAATTGATTCAATCGACTCAAACGCGACAATGAAAGGAATCAATCAACTCAATCAAACGACTCAAACCAAGACATACATTAGGTTTTTTGCCCCACCAACTTGGAAAAGTGTCCATAGCAGTCTGGTGTACCTACCTACCTACCTACTTACCTACAGAAGAAACATAAAATATTGTCATTTAAAATTATAAATTGCCATGCCATTCAAAGTTACTATGTAATAAGGAAGGATACCTAGTGATGGACAGGTGGATCATGATATTGAGGTTCAATGGGTAGAATTGGAGCAGAAGTTTCATTTAATGGGTGCAAAATAACCCAGTAGTTGACTCGCCCCTTAACCCAAATCACCACCTTTCACCTAAAAGTTGTCAATTTAATTTTGGCCATATTCCAGCTAAGTCATCAGGCCATCTACCCCATGTAAAGCCCCTGTCTGTCTCTTATGTGAGTTGTCTGTCTCTTATGTGAGGAGCTCTTCTGAAACAAACACTGAACATAGCTGTTCCATGCCACACTGACTGACACCATATGAAAGTGTTGAAAATGTGCTACAAATTTGACAACTTCATTAGGTATGCTTTATGAAGACAGCAGGAAAGCAGGCAGGTAGGTACCTACTTACCTGCCTAGATGTGTCACTGGCTACCAACAGTTCCCACGAAGGTATATAGGTTATATGTGAAGAATTCAAAACTTTATTGCAATACAATTTGAAACTGTTAAGACTGGGGGATAGGGATGAGGATTAAAAATATATTTAAAAGGAAATGGAGAGGACAGGGACTCTGGAACCACAAGATAAGTTAAGGACAAAGGAAGTAGGAACAAGGAAAATTAAAACGCGAAAACGGCACGGTGCGAAACCTGCGAAACAAAGGAAACGTTTTGCCAATAAGTATGCTAAGCTTTTATAAATCCTTATTCTACGTCTTTTGATTTTTTGGTAAGATGACGTCATTGATTATCATGTAGTATGGTAGATCATCATAAAATAAATCGGTTGTACAACACCAATTTCGTTTTAATTATTATTTCATTTGAAATAAAACCACTTAATAATATTCAGTAAAATATTTTAAGGAAAATGAAATATATTGAATATGTTATGCTTAGGCTCTCAGGAGAAAAGGATCA